GAATAGAAATGTTCACATAGTCTCAGGCTCTGTAGTTTGCTGGGTCAGACAGCCCCATACCCTTTACTTCTCAGTCCTCCACCGAGCTGATATGAGGCTCAAAATCCCCAGATTCCAATATGACAGGACATTAAACCAGACTCTTCCTGCTATGGCAAATGACATCAAAGTGCACACTAGGAACTCAGAAGCAGAATTCACAGAAGACCTGGCTGTGAACTGGGCCCGTGTCCTTTGAAACTTGGGACTCAGCTTGAGACTTTAAGTGTCTAAGGAGGAAAAAGTAAAGGCAGACTCATAAAGACTCTTCTCCCGGGAAGTGATACTCACTATTTTCCCTACCAGGGACTGCCACTGCACCACTCCGAGAGCTTCAGCCAAGTTCGCTCTACAGGGGAAGCTCAGGGATCAGCCCTGCCTCTGGCAGAGAAGGTGAAGGCACTCTGCAGCCATGGGATGGAGGTGGTTATGCACCAGCTGTGTCCAGACTGGTCATCTGGAAAGCTCCCCAGGGCTCATTTGGAGACAACAGGGGAGAAACCCAGTGTGAGGAGTCTCAGGTCCTGCCTGGGGACCTGGAGAGCACCTGGAGCAGCAGAAGGCTCACACCACACAGAGGTCCTTCCCGGAGGATGGAATTACAGCAGTATTTCAGTTCAGAACTTGACTCCACAATTCTGCTCACAAACCAAGTTGGAAGAGAACTGGGTCAAATTCAATGGTTAGGTTCAGTGTTGACCTTATGGGGAAATTTGATTTGGTTCTTATCCAATCTGGTTTGCAACCAGAATCATGGAGATAACTGAGTTCATGAACTGAGGCACCACTGTACTTCCAGCAGATGAGGTAAAGATGCCTTTGCTCATGTTGGAGGAACAGCAGAGAGCATACTCTCCAAGAACCCACAAAGGTTCCAGGGGAGAAAGTCCACTTACAGCACCAGCATATTCCCAGGCCCCAAGAGCACAAAACCACCAGCAAACAAACTTGCTGGCCACCCCACACCCTCACTTCCTTCCACCTTCAGGGGCAGAGGGCCTGATACCACAGAGACTGCCACCCCCCTGCCCAACCCACCAGCCTGAAGGTGGAAAGCAGAGGCAACTGGCCATGACAGCAAGACAAGGGTTTTCATTTAGAGCTCAGATCAGACATGATGTTTCTCAGTTGAGTGTATCTGCACCCTAAAACATCCAAAGGATCATCTGTTACTCAATCATGACCAGCAAAATCTTAGGGGGCTCAGAGTTCTCCCTAAGAGTAGTAACATTGTCACTGGTTACTCATTGGGTGTCCTAAAAAGAAAAAAGAGATGCCAAAGTCCAATCTGGGAGCCACTCAATCCAAATTGTGAAAGATAAGCCCAAGGAATGTGTATTATAAAGCAAAATAAAGTAAACTAACAATGAAAATTTCCCGGTTGATTCTAATGTGCAACAAGGGGTGGAAGGATATTGTTATGCTGAGAGCCAAGAAAGACTGCTTCTAATGAACTCATTTTATAGGGGTAATGAAAAACAAAAATAAAACCAGTGTGTTTGTCAATGGTTGTGCTCTTCAGTGGGCACCATAGTTCTCCAGATTTCATTTGGAAACTGAAAGTTCCATTTTCTTTTTTAAACACAAGCCTAAACTGACCACAGCTGATTTTAATTCTTAAAAGAGGTCCAAAGTGATCCAAGCAATGTATAGAGCCTTCCTCTCTTTCTCAGTACTAGCCAAGCTTTCAGTAATTAACAGATGGAGATGGCACTGGCTTCTGCTGACATCTGAAGATCAGACAAGACCTGTATTTCCATGCTGACACCCCGGGGTGTCCCTGTGGTAGAGTCTACATGGCCCTAGGACACTCACAAGGCCTCCACCCACTTGGTTGGCTGCCTCTGCTTGGAAAGCCTGTCTCACATTCTCGATGCTCACATCTTTCGACTGGCACCCCAGGCCTGGGCTGATACCTTCACACCCAGCTGCCCCATCCTTTCTCCAAATGGGGAACAGTGTGTTGGCTGCCATTATGCAGTGTTTCCAGACCATGCAGGAGCAAGTACACCATGACGTCACAATGTCCAGGCTCTTTCGTGTTCACCGGTTTTTGTCATAGGGACTTTTCATTTATTTGCTTTAGTGTTTTGACTTCTTTCAACATTTTTCATTCCCTTTCTTCAAAAATGTGTTCCAAGGCAAAGGGACCATCTATACCAGTAGTGGCAAACCTATGGCACTCATGCCATGGCCAGCTGTTTGTTTTCATCTGAAAGCTCTCAAAGGTTCACTATCATTGATCTTAGCTGAATGAGAAGCACACTCTCTAGGGGATACCAGGGTGGCACCCTAATTCTTCTAGCTCCGTGTGGACAGGCAGTGTCTGCATGGTGAGCCCAGGCTGCCTGCTTTCTCATAAGACAGGAAACTTCCAATGTGAAAAAAATAAATAAAAAATAATGGAAACTCATCAAAAACACTAGAGGTAAAAGTACAGTAGATGAAACATCTCAAAAAGCTTTGTGAGAGCTAAACTTCATCAATTACAGTATGATGACAGCATAAATACTGAAGGAATCTGAAGGCAAACTTGACCTGTTGTCCTTAACTTAGAATGTACCATCAGGGAATTGATATATTTTTGCTATTTGTTTATTTTTCTTTAGTTTTAAAAGGGGTTAAGAGGAAAAGAAAGCAATTTTAAGAAAGGTCATTATCTGAATGGTATGACTCTCATAAATACCCACAAAGATTCCACCCCATAATCTCTAATTGGTCACACTGGTTTATGTTCCTCTAGGGCCATTTATACCTACTACCACCCTGGGCCCCCTGGACCAAGTCTCTGTCATTCCCACTTTCATTTATTACTCCTTGATAGATGGTCCTAGAGGGAAAAAATCAGCATTCTGTAAGGGTTTAATTTTTATAAATAAATAGTTATTTCCTTAAAAATATTTGAGAGACCTGAACTTATTTTTATGCCAGAAAACAATTCTTTCCCATCACCAGCTATGTTAAAACTAACAGAAGCAATCAGAAAAAAAAAAAAAATGAGGCCACATGGATAAGAAAAGTTCAGCTCTACCAAATGTTAGCATCATATACAAATGTTCAAAGAAAATACATCAAAATCCCGATCTAAAATAGAAGCTATTGGCTTTACACTGTTCAGATATCAAAGGACACAGACCTTCTTCTGATGGCTTTAAACTCCAGACCTTTACTCCCAACAGTTTGCAAAGGCCGCAATGGTAAAATTCAAATAAAGTCTTAAACTGAGTGAACAGCAATGTACCGAAGTCAGTTTCTTTGTGGTGACAAACATACCAGAGTACAGTGGTGCCTCAGTTCACAAGTTTAATCTTTTCCATGATCTGGTTGCAAAATTCCTTCCACCAAAATTAAGTTCATGAACCAAGGTATGACTGTAATGTAAGATGTGAGCAAGGGGAAACACTGGGCGGAGTCTCTGGAAACTCTATGTACTATCTTTGTAACTTTTCTACAGATCTAAAATAAAAAGTTTATTTAAGAACAAACAAAAAGCTGTTACCCCAAATCAGGGTCTCCAGACTGAATTCTAAAGTTGCAATTCCCACAAACAGGCAGGAGGAAACACAGTCAGCTAGAGATTTACTACAATACACACAGCTGAGCAGCTACACTCTCAGTTAGGAGAAGGAAGATTTAATGGGAATGACTACAACAACCATGGATGTCCAGGCATAGCCTCCAAACACAAACTGTTTTATGTGGCCCTGAAGGGCTGCTTGTAAATCAGGCTTACATAATTCAAATCACATTCTGAACATGCTAAGGAAGCCTGTGCATTTAAAAAGATGTCTAGCAAGTACAAGGTAATGAGAATGATTTTGTTTTGTTTACTGTTTTTCAAAGATGGCTCTGCAGGGAGCTCCTCTGTCAGTGGCACTGCCCTGTAAGCCAACATGTACAGGCTGCCCAGCAGCCCCTCAATTCAGATCTCTAGAATTCTATTTTCCCTTCCTTCTGCCAGGTCATCTCTGTGACTCTTAACTCACAGCTTTTGTTGTGAGGAGCTGCATAACAAAGTCAGGCTCCAACTCCCAATCAGAAGATTCACCTTGGGCCATAAGATTGAGCAGGTAAAATTACTCCCCTAAAGGAAGGAGTCATGCACAGGCAGGGCAACTGTCCTGCAGTCAATGGAGCTCACACTGAAACTCTCCTGCTGGCCAAAAAGAGGATCCCAGGTGCTAGGCACCCTTCCCTAAATCCAAGCCATAGGTCAGATAGGTACCATCACCACTCCTAGAAACCCAAGCCATGGGCTGCGGAAGTGGTGGCTCGACCCAGGTGGTCCCAGTCAGCAAAACAGTCCACGATACTGGTTTCTGGCCCATGGATGAAAATGCAGGATTTCCACTACAAGTGTAAAGTATAAGAAAACTATCTTAAATATTTTATGAGCCAACAAAACACAGTTCATCTACTTGTGGTTTTACATAGGTTTTGCCATTGTGAGTATAAAAATCTCATTAAAAATTTGAGACAATAATAACCATTTTCTCATGAACTCTCAGACACACTAATTAATAATCTTGTGTATATCAGGTACCTATTCAAAATTATTCATTCCCCCCATCACTTCCTTGGAGCAGTACAAATTCCTGCCCCTCAATTTGCCTTTGGCCCTGTGATTTGCTTTGACCAATGCCTACAGGCTGGAGAGCAGTGTTCTAGACTGGAACTCAGACCTTTTCTGAACCTGGTACATTTCCAGTTGCCCTCTGACACTCTGTGCTTGCCTCGAGAAACAGGTCTCCTGTGTAGCTGCCATTTCTTCACCCTGAACTCTAGAGTACATACAAAGTAAAACCAATCCAGCTGACCTGCTGACCTATGATCTAGACTAAATCCTGGTGCTTTAATCCTGGTGTTTTGGACCTAGGGATGGTTTTATTGTACACGATTTTGTTAAGAGCTGAGTGACAGATCTTACCCTCTCCTCAAGGGCAAAAGCTGCAGATACTCACCATCGATGTCCCCGGGCCAGCCCATGAAGTGAGCAGAGACTTGTCTCTCGTCCTTTCCATACTCATTCTGGGCAATCAGTGTGTAGTCCCCATTGTTCATGTGGGTGGGATTATCCAGCTGGAGGCAGCCATGGTACTCCGTGTGATTGGTAACGTGAATTTTAGTACAGATGTATTTGGACTCATTCAGTATTGCCCCATTATAGAACCACTGAAGCGCTGGTTTGGGGTTGCCTTTCACAGTGAATGGGATGCACCAGTGGTGGTCTGAGGTTGGAGATTCGAGAAATGTGATAGTTGGTGCAACTAAATTGAAAAAGAGAGAGTTAATAGCATCAGAAAGCTCAGAATCCTCCCTGTCTCCAGATTTCTGTGTCATCAAGAGGGGACTTCATTCAAGCACTCTGAACGTTGGCTTGGTTTGGTTTGAGAAAACACACAATCAACTTAGGAGTCCACCATTTTTTTCTATATGTGCTGCCAAAGCGAGCATATCTACCATTATTTTGTAAAGTATCATCATGGAGGGTGAATTAACTCGCTCCAGAGAGCTTCAGACAGACTCCTTGCTCTGCTCAGTTTAAGACCTATCCATCACAGTCACTTTTCAAAGCTTTTTCATGCACATGAGAACCAGCTCCAAACAGTTGTAAGAGATTTCTGAGAGCAGAAAGGACTCATATGGCATCCACTTTGGTTTTTAATATATGGTCCCTCATACTATGCAAGTTCTTCACCAAACATAAAGAGAGGCATTATTTTCATAGCACCAAAAATCCCTTAAGTCTTCTCCCCTAAGTGATTCAAATAACAACAAAAATGACTTTGAAATTTTACTGATCTCATTTAACTTTTCTAAGACAGATCAAACTGGTCAAGCAACGAATGCTGATATGATGCTATTGATTATTATAAAGTATGAAACTTTGATATTTTTTCATTGCTTGTCAATAGCAAACAGTCTTTTTAAAAGCACCGAATAACAGTAGGGCCCATATTTTCTAGATTCTAGATGTCAATATTTTGATTTTTGAATGTCTGAGGTCCAATTTAATCTTGAAAAAATAGACTAGAGATTATTTCAATTTTAAGCATATAGTGCTTTATGCTTTTAAAAAACAAACATTATCAAGTAGTATCATTTTACAGAATAGTTATCCTGAGTGAAGGTATTTTAAAATCACATATTGCTCATCTTCATGTAGTCTACCTTTGATAATTATAAAGAACTGGAAAAGAACTTTGACACCCATTATAGCTTGCATCTAGATGTTCCCCCAAAGTTTCATGTAGTCATAGCTGGGGCTTTTCAGAGGTGGCTGAATCTAGTGTGTGATGCTGGGATTAAGGCTGTGTGATTACTAAATTAGTCCACTTGATGCTTGCTACTTCACTGCTTTGCTGTCATCTGCCCACCATGAACTGTTTCTCCTCTGTAATCCCCCTCTGCCATGCTACTCTGCCTTAAAGCCAGACAGTTATGGACTTAAACCTTTAAGAACTGTGAGTTCCAAATAACTTTCCTCCACTAATTTTGGGTGTTGAGCATTTTGTGTCAGCAATGAGAAAAAGTAACTAAGACAAGACCCAATAGCATTGTTTGTCTCATAGAGAAACCAATGTCTGGTGAGGTTTGGTAAGTCAGTAGAGGTTATTGAGAGAGTCCAACTTGGAACAGGAATTCAAGTCTCCCTCATCTAACCTGGTAGCTTTCATACATGGTTTCTTTGACGCACATATTTATCATATAACAGGGGGAAAATGTAAATCATGGAAGCCAACACACAACCACTGCAAGTACGGTCCTTTTCATGGATGGCTATCTCAGTTGTTAATATTCCTTATCACTAATTCCTTCAACTCTTTATCTAAACTTAGACAAGCTCAACTCTTTAAACCCTGATGAATACATAGATAGTCCAAGCATCTTTAAGAGAAAGCAAATAATCTGAACTTTCACTCTTTGTGTTCACATAAATCCATCCTTCCAGAATTCTACTGAAGAAAAAGCAAAGCTGGAAAAGAACCTAATTGACTTTCATAACATACAGAAAGATTTTCAGTTACTAGTGAAATTCCTCACCACTGGGCATGTGGAGTTACTTACTTCTGCAAATATGTATTATTTCAGGGTCCCTCTCTTGAGGAAACATAGAACTATAAAATCTAAATTTGCAAGGTTTGATCATTTGCTTTACCAAATATTTCTCAAAGGCCTTCTTTAAAAAAATCTTTGGAAGGCTGGGGATTTAGCTCAGTGGAACTGCATCTGCCTTGCTAATGCAAGGCCCTGAGTTCAATACCCAGTACCAAAAAAAAAAAATATCTTTGGAAAGCAAAATAGCTTTTAATATTTGATTGAATCCCTCTATAAAAATTTAATCTAAACACAATGATGGGGGCTTCGTATCCATTACTTAAAGTAAGGTGCATGCCTGTGTAGATGCACATATTTTCAGGTCTGAGTTAAAAACTAGCCACTTCAAGGACCATAGAATAAGCAAGGTCCATACTTAACTCCTGTAATCCCCGCCCAGAGCCCATTTATCCCTTCTGCCATGCTTAAATGAACTGTGCATGAGGTGTTGAATTAAGGGCATAAAATTGCAAGTTGACTACATATGTTTGATAATAACATTGACTTAAAGCTTGTGGGTAGATCAAAATGATGAAAAATTATAAGTCCAGTACCCTCTAAGCATAGTGGTGGTACTGAGAGTGACCAAGGATTGTGGTTTGTCATTTCAATCTTAGTAATGATGCAGAGCATCTGTGTGATTTTCACTTAATACGTGTCCACATTTAATGCTGCAATCTAGTATTTGGAGATAAATTATTATATTTGGAATACTGGACAATAATGCATGTTTATGCTTAACTGAGAAGCATTGATATCTTATATCTTAGCTGCAAGGCACCCAGAAATTTAAAACAAGAATAATAAAATTTTCTGCAGAGTATAATTTTCAGGGATTTAACTAGTAAGATGCCTCTTACCTTCTCACAGAAACTTTATCTCAAACTAATAAAACTGCATTGTATCAATGAAACCATTAAATGTTTATGAAAAGCCAGTAAATGCTTTAGGTATCACTACATTAAAGCTTCATATTGCTATAATTAGGGGACTAAGTGTTTAGAGCCTGGTTTATCAGAATTTAAAATCAAAATTAACAAGTAAACAATCAGCTCAAATTACATTGTTAGAAAAAGACAAGGGAGGCTACAAAGCAATAAGATCAAGATCAGAAAAAGAGCTGAAAAGAAAACATGAGAGCAAGAGATATGAAGCAGAAATAGAACCAGTGAAAGAGGCTGACAGCATTTTAGTTCAGTAGCACCAAACACTGCAATATGCTCTTTAAATACACTCAAGCAGCATCCAGAGCTCCTCAAGACAAATGTGGCAGTGTCCCCGATCATCTGCTATTAAAACACATGCTGGTCTGAGTACGTACAGTGCACAGTGAGGTTGACAGAATCCTGATCTTCTCCTACAAGGTTTTCTGCCACACACGAGATTTGCTTTCCACTGTCATCAGCTGAAATGTTAGTTATCCTCAAAGAGCCCTGAGTCTGGCTTGTTTCATTCTACAAATGAATTAACAGACAAAAATAACCTTAATTAGGACTGATCTCAAGTGACAAGATTTGGAGTCTCTTCCCCTAGTTACGAAAAAAAAGTGTGTGTGTGCATGCACACATTTGTGTACGTATGTGTGCACGTGTATGTGTAAAGATGACATTAGAAATTCTATCTGAGGGCCGGGGATTTAGCTCAGTGGTTTCACTGCCTGCTGCACAAGCGCAAGGACCGGAGTTCGATCCCTGGTATCAAAAAAAAAAAAAAAAAGAAAGAAATTCTATCTGAATTGGACTCAGGTCAATGGAAGTTATTGCATTTCTCAATATTTTGATTCCTAAATTTGTGAAATGGACTTACTCTATGAGTCCCTTACCTACCTTCCTGAAGGGAAATGACCAAGAAGATAAGTCAATCTCCTGATGACACAAAGAGCTCACTAGGGTTATAGAATCTCCATCTATTGGGCATATGTAACTAAAACGCAAACATGCATTAGTCTTTCCTAATTAAGAATAAATGGAAAGTAAATGTGCATCAAAATATTTTGTAAATTTCTATAACTGAGCCTATAAAATATGAGCTGGTCATTACTGGACTTAATACAATCTCACATACTGAAATATTCATTGTCTCTCTATTAAGTCAGAGGTCAATCCATGCCTTACCATGTGCTTGGAAACCAGATTCCTGACATCCCAGTACATATTAGGAAGTGGGTCACCTGCCACACTACAGGACAAGGTGATAGACTTTCCTTCCTCCACAGTGAGATTGACTGCAGCCAGACTTGCAGATGGCAACCCTACGGAACAATAAAAGCAAACAGAAACATATACAAGTAATTAGCTGCAGTATCAAAATAATAGTAATAAATTAAGATTTCTTCATGCTTTAAAATAATCACTTATTTTCTCACACTGAAAAAGTGTTAAGTTGATGAGTTATATAAATGTAAATAATCCAGACAGAAAAGTGAGCAGTAATAAGATTTGAAAACAAATTGTTATACTTCTTACAAATATAATTATAGAAAAATCTTTATTTAAAAAAACATTCATTTATAGAACTGTTTTCTACCTCTTTTCAGTTCTTTAGTTACTAATCGCATTGTTGTGCACATATATAAGCATTATACCTGTGAACCAAAATCTTATTTCATTTATTTTCCCCCTGCACCCTTCTCTTCACTTTTTATAATCATAAACACAAGGGGTAAGATGTATCTACATGTTTTGCATAAATCTAATTTTTTTGCTTTAAGCAACCCTTATAAATCTAAGTATGTGACCTAGGGTTTTGAAGGAGTCAGATTACTAAAGAAAAGTGGTTTCAAAACATTTTTCAAAGGCAAAATTGCAATAACACAGTGTTAGGATGTCTCAAAGTTATATAAATCACAGCTAAATATTATGAGTTAAATTGTTATCCTGTTGACAATATGATAAAAAACTTATGAGTTCTTGAATGAAAACTTTTTAGTTTGAGAAACCCTAAAATGTTCATCAGATGAACTTTTGAAGCTTATCAATATTTTTAACATTCCAGCAAAGCATCATTTTTATATTCTTACATTTCAAAAGCTAGGAGTTTTTTTCTTTAAATTGATGCTGCTATCACTTCATCAAATTATCAGACCCACTGAATGTGTATTCTGCTTTAAATTACACAAGAACCCAAGTGTTTTTATGTGAGGGCAGGTCCCAGAGGGAGTAACAGTATGGTAGGTCCTACAGTCAAACCAATTCCTTCTGGGTCTTAGAAAGGCTGCTTGGGATTGTATTAACCAACAGCTGGATCCCACGGAACTATGACACATCATTAACTCTGAAGCAACCTGGGGGTCAGTAAAAGCAATTCATCTTCAACAGCCATTAAATTGCAATTAACCCACCCACCTGGCTGTATTTAACCCCCTCATCTTCATGTTGCTATGCATAAAGCTTTCCTTATCATGCAGTCTTTATAGACAAAGCCACTGTTTGTTATCACTGAAATCAGCCTGGAGCGAGAGCAGTACAGTACACATCTCTTGGTCTTCCACCACTGAAAGATCTGGCTTCAGCAGCTACTGAGACCTCTTGGGAACTCTTCCTTCCTGTAAGGTCCAACAGAGAGCAATTTCTCTTTCACAGGGTTTCCAAGAGAAATGGTCAGTGGTCAAAAACCCAGCTCATACTGACTGTATGGCCTTGGTGAGTTCTCTCTCCCTCTCTCTCTCTCTCTCTCTCTCTCTCTCTCTCTCTCTCTCTCTCTCTCTCACACACACACACACACACACACACAAAGTGTTCTTTCCACAACTTCTCTGACAATTAAGTTTTGCGATTTATTAAGAAGCATGTCAAGAAAATATATCCTTGAAGTCTGTGGGTCACTTAAAACTAATCAGGCAGTCACACAGTTTGAAGGGTCTATAATTCTACAAAATTTGTTATGAAACATGTTTCAAACTACTGTGCAAAAAACTAGTCCACCTAGTGCCGCCCAGATGGCACTCTTGTCTGTCTCAGTTACCTTTTGCATTTCTTGAGTTTTTTCTTTGGTACTGACTTTCATTTCCCTCCATACCAAACTTGTAATGTTATTTTTTGGTCTCTCTGTTTAGTGTTGTCTGCTGATCTCCCACCATAAGTAGAAGAAAGTGTACACACAGAATCCCAGCTTCCCCACATGCCCACACCAGATTCAGCTCTTAGTATCTTCCCTCATGCTATGAAGTTACACTGCCTAGTGAGGGTATAGAGTTTATTATGAGTATAAAAGCTTTCCTGGCAGCTGAATCACCTCAAATGTAATAGTTATCATATTTCAACAAATTTAAGAGAATATCAATTTTAGGATGCAACCTTGTTACATGTACTCCTAAGATAGAAACAGATGCAGTTTAATGATTATGCAATGCTTTCTTACCACTTAGAACTACAATTATTTGAATGTTGGATATTATCAATGACCCATCTGATTTTCTAACCCTTTATTTTCCACCTTAGTGTCTCTTTATTTATTTATAGGAAGTTTCTTCAGACATATCTATCACACGACCTTTAATGTTTTTCATCCCTCTGTCACACTGTTAGTTTCCAAGGCTCTTTTCCTTTCCTGAATATTCTTTTCATAGCACCTTGTTGTGTTTCATGAATGTAACATCTCTTCTGATGTCTGAGATATTAATGATTATTTCTTTTGAATTTGTATTCTGTTTCTTGCAATTCTTCTTGAATTAATCTCCTTGATTGTTTTGTGTTTGTCTTTCACATCTAAACTTTTCTTAAATGTTTCTGATCCTTGAAAATGCATTGCATGGCTTCACTGTGGGGCAGTATTATTGGCCTTTTGACTGGGACAACCAGAATCACTGGAACGTTCAAAGGAAAGTTGTCTATGTCACTGAAGAAATTGTTCATTGGACAGTCTTCCAGTGTTCTGCTTGGATGGGGAAGAAGACAGGAAATATCAAAAACCAGTGTGTTGATAAATTAAAATAGGAAGAAAAGGTCCAAAGGGGTAGGGGCAGTGGGAAGGGAAGGGGAAAGGAAAGAAGGTAAAGGAAAAATGATGAGAAAAGAAAAAAAAATGGAAATGAAGTCTATGTAAATAGGGAAGGGTGGAGGGGGTGAAGGGTGCACAGGTAATGGGGAAAAAATAAGAACCAAGATGCATCATGTTCAGGCACAAACACCCAATGATAAATGTAAATGTACTGTATACCTAAAATGTGCCAATAAAAGAATTTAAGGAAAAACAAACAAACAAACAAAAAACAGTGTGTGAAATCATTATTTTCTCTGTGATTCTTACAGCCTCAACTCTACCTGACGTCCCTTGAGATCTTTATTTTATCCTCTTTTGAGAATAAAACTGCAGTTTTCTGCTGAGGAAGGAGAGGAATAGTCACATGGACTGTACGGAACAAAAACACATTTAGTTGCTTCTTAATGTTTTAGCCAATACCCTGATGCGATGTCACCTATAGTTTTACTTCTTGAGGCTTGCAGTGATTCTGCAATGCAAATCAAGCTTTCTCCTGGCTTTCTCCATTGCCACCTTGTTAACCAGCATTTCTCAGCCATTAAGTCATTCTCATGCCTCATCCCTCTGCTCTCCTAACTTATAACTGCTTGTGCCTAGTCGATTCTCTTCCATTTCCTTTGCATTTATAGATTTACTTGCTGACTCTGGTGAGGCTGTGCTTATTCTTAAGGTGTGACCCCTTCCACAAGCGATATACCACAATGAGCTTAAAGACTTCCCTTTTGGCACCTCAAGTATAAAGTGATGGGTACCATCTCCTGCCCTCCATAGAGGTGTCATATGTTAGATAGTCTGAGCAGGAAAAGGTTAAAATAAAGAGATGTCAATAGGAAATGTTATGTTATAAGCTTAATTTTCCCTATAAAATCTGATCCAATTTCTAATCTTCAAGCTTAAGATTAGAAGCTTCAAGCTTCTAAAATCTAAACTTCAAGCTTAAGCTTATATGATTAACAGCTCTAAAATGTTTACTTATACTATAATAATATTAGCATTTATTAGGCATTCAGTGAACCATTTACTCTCGTCTTTATTGCTTTACTGACTGCTTATAAACAAGCTTGAAGGTGAGCATTTTGTCCTTATTTAATGAATGAAGTATATGAGTTTTGGAAAGATCAAAGACATCTGCCAAAGCTGCCCAAGTACATTTCAGCCTGAGATTTGAACCCAAGTTCAGGGCCTTCACTGCTATATTACACTATCTCCTTGGGTGGCACATGTCTATTTTACTACAGACTGTACGTCCATGATTTAGGAATCTAATGCATTTAAGGAATAATTACGTGTCTATTTTGTGAAAGAAGAACCAGTCTCCTTTATTTATAGAGAAATTATATCACCCTAATTTCCAAAAGGATTTGTGCAAAAGTGGCCAAGTCTAGATCTTTGAAATGTAAAGTCTCCCACAAATGAGTAAGCATCTGACTCATGTTAATAATACTGTGTTAATATGCTGGCCAAAGATTCAATAATGGAAAAAGAATCTGTACTTAAAATATCACTTGAAGTTTAATTAGCACAATAAAAATGAATTGAGAAACAAGAATAGCCAAAGCAGGGTAAATCACTTTCCAGGCACTACTTCCTGGCTTAATAAGATTTGAAATCGGCACAAGAACAGAGCAAAGCCCAGCAAGGCTTCCAAGATCTACCAGCACTAGCATGATGGGATCCTGATCCTCAGCCTCATGGCCGCCTTCTCAGCATAACAGTGCTGAGTGGACACTCCACTGAGTGCTCTCCGTGGAGCTGAAATGATCCACTCCCCATACAGACAGATTATATCAGGCGTCTTGAGCTGGGATGGTTGGAAAAGGACATACATACTGCAGACCTCAGCAGAAAAGCAAGAACCAAGCAGGGAAAAGGTGGACCTTCTTTGGACAGGGCCTTCCAAAATTGTTATGTGCCCATGAATCACCAGGGGATCTTGTTAGAGTGCAGCTTTTCTTTTCCAGGAGGTCTGAGTTGGGGCCAGCAAATCATGCATTTCTAATAAGCTCCCTGTTCCACAGACCGCAGTTTGAGTAGCAAGCGTGTAGACGATGGATGTTGAACAACTATTCACTAGGCTTTTGTTTCTGAAACTATCATTCTTAGAACTACACAGGGATCAAGTATTCACCCAGTCTACCAAACTTCACCCAAAGTGTATTCTGAGGAGCTCTTAACTCCTTGAGATGCTCTGTGGGAAGAAAGGAAGGAAGGGCGGGAGGGAGAAAGAGAAGAAAGAGAGAGGGAGGTCTATGGAAAACTGGAGGTTCACAA